CTTTATCTCTAATAATCTATCCATCACATCTTACTTTTACCTATCACATCAAGGGCAAAATTGGAAGTCAACTACAATTTAATACTTCCTTATTTTTACACAAAGTCAAAAGAGGAACACTTTTTCCAAACGGAGGGAGTAGTTAGTTATGAAGTTAATAAATTAGCTCTATTGTGTAGAATAATTTATTTTCTAATTATTACCATATTATTGGTTATTGAAAAAAACAATTAATTTCACTCTAAAAACACTTAAATTTGGTATTTTTCCAAAAAAATAAAATAAAAATACATTTAAAGAAATTTAAAAACGAAAAAGGGAGAATTTACCTAAAATAATCCCACCTTTCATTTATTTGCGAAAAACGGGCATTTTTCAAAATTTCCGTTAAGTGACCGTTAGTTTTTTAACGGTGACCCAAAACTCGCACACATAAAAGTGGGATTATTTCCGGTGACAGCGAAAAGTGGGATTATTTTTGAAAGAGCGCGAAAAGGTGGGATTATTTGAGATAATTTTTCCATTAGGAAATGACATACGAAGTATGTTTTAGTACTATTTAATGCAAATTTCAGATTTACATTATACTCCCTCCGTCCCACTCTCTTTGTTCACTTACATTTTCGCACACCATCCAATGCACTTCTTTAATTCATTTTATCTTGTAATTTGTATATTAAAAAATTATAGAAATTATATATTGATAATCTATATGTTAAGAAAAATCAAACAAGATCACACATGAATATATTTAGGATTACACATTGAGAGAATTTGATGAGTCAAAGTGCTTAGATGAACAATTCCAAAAGTCAAAAGTGGACAAACAATGCGGGACGGAGGGAGTATTTCTCAACTCTTCATAAATATAAAACACAAATTTTATTTTATTTTTTGTTAAAACGGGTCAAAAGTCAAAACAATTAGGGAGAAATAGGCGAGTATATCTACATTCAATTCTTATCATTCCAATTAGGCAGGCCATCGACGTACCCTACCCGATTTTTGATTTTCTATATAAACACGTAACTCGGGCAGTCCACCCACCCACCCAATAGTCTCAAATCAAACCAACATCCATCCACATCAGCTTTTCCCATCCAAAAACCTGATCTGATCTATATATCTAAAAACCTAAAACCATGAAGGTGAAGATAGAAAGCACGAGAATCGTCAAACCATTGTATGAAGGAATCCCTCCTTCAAAAACAACCCATATTCCCCTTAGTGTCTTTGATAGGGTTTCTTTTGATGCTCAAGTGGCTATCATTTATGCCTACTGCCCGCCCACCCCTCCAAACGCCGCCATCGAGCTGGGGCTTAGGAAGACTCTGTCGGTGTACAGGGAATGGGCGGGCAGGTTGGGCAAGGACCACGACAAGGGTAAACCCGTCATTTTACTCAACGACGAAGGCGTTAAGTTTGTGGAAGCTGTAGCTGGCACCACCCTCAGTGAGGTGATGCCCTTGAGGCCTTGTGCGTCGCTGCTCGAACTCCACCCCAGTCTGAAGAACGTGACGGAGCTGGTCCAAGTCCAACTGACGCGTTTCACGTGTGGCTCTCTCGTGGTCGGCTTCACCTCTCATCACCTCGTGGCGGATGGCAACGCCACAAGCAATTTCTTGGTTGCATGGGGAAAAGCATGTCGCGGCCTCATGGCCAAACCCTTACCCCTACACGACCGGACGATTTTCGTGCCACGAAACCCACCAAGAGTCGAGTACCAGCACATTGGGGCCGAATATGTTCCAAAGCCGATGCAGAACAAGGACCGTATTCCCCATGAAGACACCACGTTGTTGGAAGACATTGTGGTGCACAAAGTCCACTTCACCTTAGAGTTCCTAGCAAAACTCAAAGTCAACGCCTCCTCTGACAACAACAACAACAACAACAAGCCTTATAGTACATTCGAAAGCCTCATGGCACATCTATGGCGGGTGGTAACAAGGGCTAGGAACCTCGGGGGCTTCGAAAGCACCCACATAAGAATTGCGGTGGATGGTCGGGCGCGCCTTAATCCCAAAGTACCCAACGACTACTTCGGCAACCTAGTTTTGTGGGCATTTCCTACCTCGAAGGTCAAAGACCTACTGCGAGAGCCACTACCCTACGCAGCGAAGCTCATCCACGACGCTGTTGCGAAGGTAAACGACAACTACTTCAAGTCGTTCATAGATTTTGCAAGCAGTAGAGCGGTCGAGGAAGGAGGAGGTCTTGTTCCGACAGCCGACCCGGACGAACTCGTCCTACGTCCGAATTTGGAGGTCGATAGTTGGCTAAGGTTTCCATTCTATGACTTGGATTTTGGGACGGGGTGTCCCTTCATTTTCATGCCATCATTTTGCCCTATAGAAGGACTCATTTTTCTGCTTCCCTCGTTCATAGGAGATGGAAGCATAGATGCTTTCATCCCATTGTTCCACGACAACTTGGCTGTCTTCAACCAGATTTGCCATTCTCTTGATTGATTGATAATGCTCATCATAATTGTAATTTTTTAAAATTAAAAGTATTGCATTCCATTTCATTTTCATACAATTAAATAATAGACATGTTAAATTAATTGCTCATGTCATATTTCCTAACCCACTTTTGTAATTTCTAAATAATACTCTTTTCGGTCCATTACATTATATTGAATTTTGATATGAATTTAATATCAATAAGTTCATTTTGAATTATAATTTTGAAATGATACATTCTCATAATTTAATTGAAGATATGAATATTGCATTGAATGAAAACAGTGAAAAGTAGGAAATAAATAAAAACAATACCACTAGTAGTTTAAGAATTTCGATATGTTAATATCTCCATGTCATCAAAAAATTAAAATTTTGTACTCATAACATAAAATTAAAATAATATTCTTTTTTAAATTTAAAAAGTAATATATAAATGTTCCATCAAAATATGTCAACTAAAATTAATACACCTCCCTTCTTTTGACAATAAAAAATAATGTCATAATATGACAACAATTCAAATCGGAGTACCTACGGAGCTTCGATCGTTATATTGATGGTTCATACCCCACTAACCCTGGCAAACCCCCCACCCCAGCCCACTGCGAACCCATTATCCCAACCCCTTCAATTTTATTGTCAAAGTTAATTTGACTTTTAGGTCAAAATTATGAACAAATCTCACTACATTATTGTAATAGAACTAATAACTTTAAAAGTTGTGTAAAATCTAGCTGCAGAATGAGAAAACATATCATCCATAGCAGTTTATGTTGGGATTTTAAGCGCGTAAGATACCGAAAAATATTGAGAACACCAGAAAAATGAGAGAACAAACACAAGAAGAAAATATGAGAGAAAAAAATTATATTTCCACTATTTCAGGATAATATACAAAAAACTCTCCTCTGTTTACAAGACTAAATTTCAGACACTCATAAACAGATCTTTCCACATCCTATGGCCGGATGTATTTTTTCGAGTAACTAAAACCAGTTACTCTCTACACTCAGCCACACTCACCAAGACCCCTTGGATTTTCCCGGTGGTATTCTTGTGTAAAATTCCTCTATTCTCTCTCTACCTTGGTGGTGTGTAAAACCCACACTCCATTCATTGCAGGATGCTCCTATTTTATAGCCAAACACCAACATGCAATCCAAAGAGAAAGTCAACAAAAGCATGCTAGATTAAATGGTCACCAATCTAGCTAGCCAAAAGCAAGATCTTCACAATCAAAAAATATTTGATTTTCTTTCTTTTTTTTCTTTTTCTTCTTTGTCCTCTTCCTTATTTTTTTTCTTTTATTTTTATTATTAATCAATTTCACAACAAACTCCACCTTGATTAAATAATAAAAAAAACTTTGTAGCTCCACCTCACTTCTCCGGTGAGATCACCGCTACTCCGAATTTTTTTTTATCCTTGGCGCCATCTCAGTCTGCTCCACCGAGACCACCGCTGCCAACCTCAAAGAAGAAAAAAAATCCTCGTGGCTCCACCTTGGTCCAACCACCAAGATCACTACCACCTTGAAAAAATTTTCATGCCCTATCTTGCTCAATACCGCAAGCTCTCCGCCACCATGTGTTGACTCATGGTCGTGGCCTCACCTTGCTCAATACGACAAGGTCTTCACCATTTTCACTTATCATTGTACCCGTGGCTCCATCTCAACCAACCCGTCAAGATTACCGCCACAACCTTAGCTCATTAGAGTTTTAACCCTCCACCCCAAGCTAAACAAAATGACAACTCACCTTTTTTAACACTCTTTGAGACCACCCATCTAGCAATTAGCTTCTTTTGATCCACCCATCTTGCACCGCTGCAACAACACCTGCGGGACACGCCGCCCGACCTCTTCTTGCCGGAAAGACTTTCGACACAAGACATAAGCCGCAGTTTTATACTCCGCTAGACTATCGGTCTCCTCAAGTCATGTTCCTGCACCATACTTCTGATACGGGATTAATTATTATTATTATTATTACTATTATTAATGGTTAGTGGTTATTATTATAATATTAGGTAGTATTATTATTTATGGTTAGTTAATTATATTATTATTAGAAAGTAATATTCTATTGTTAGGATATTTGTTACCATTTATAATTAGGATTCCTAGATTATTTAGTTTCCTTCTATGGTAAGGATTCTTTAGATGTCTTACCTATAAATGTATCCATTTCAATGAATTATTTATCAATGAATAAAGAAAATATTTTCTCCTAAACCTTAATCTCTCTCTTTCTCGCCTCTTTTGTTCTTGGAGCTCGAAGGTGCTCGAAATCCTTCCCTATCCCGATACGATAC